CCTATAATGTTTGTTTGTTGAACCAAAACTGTTTTTATATAATTGTGATCAAAATATTATAGAATGAATTATTTTAATTGATCAAATGCGAAATACTTGAATCAAATAGAGAACCAATAAATTTTTAAAGCAAAACTAGAACCGTAATACACTTTACATAGGTAGTATTATAAATCATGATTCACTCTACAATAAAAAGGTAAAGGAATAAAACCACACAGGTATAAAACATTTAATCAATACTGGAAGTCATAGCCCTACCCAGTAGGTAAAAATATAGAGGGTGCTTAACCACCCCATCCATTAATGGTATCAAATATAAACCTCTGTAAATCGTGATGAGAATCACTATTTTTAGATAACTACATTATTAATTATTTAGTTAATTAAGGACAGTACTCAGCAATTTCCTTCACACTAGTAGTGTTGAAGGTTGCCTATCCAAAACAGAAAACAAAAATGAGTGTCCAATATTTTTCTGTACAAGGATATTGAAGTGATGTTACTTAATTTTGTAAAAATAAGTCCAAAAGCTTATAAATATATGACCATCGCATAGAATGGTGTCGCGATGTGGAGTTCGTTGATAGGCAGACACCAATACAAGCTGACAACGGACAATACAAACAAATAACCGTATGTCCAGTGTACACCAACGACCCCAGTGGTTGTCGTTTTATTTATCTACGCGGCAACACGGCAAGACGCTAGAACCTCGCCTACCTGGATGATGACTAAGAACAAGAGCGTCAACGTGAGGTTATAGTGGCTGGTGTTCGTGGAAAGTGGATGTCTGTTCGTGTTTGTGTGTAATTGTAACAAACTATAAGTGAAAATGACTGTATCTAAGTCTTACTCGCCTAGGGACAGGCACCGAAAACGTATTTTTAACAAGGAAGAAGGGACTCTATTAGGGAGAACACCTCTTAGTTGGGGTATGTGGTTTGTTTACAGTTAAGGAAGTGATGCGCGTGAGAGCAGCGCATGGATTAGTTAAGATAAAACTGTTGATATTTCTTTTAAAAAATATATACAGATAGTCAAGAGCAACATATTTTACTATTATTTAAATTAATATGTGTGTTTCCTTGACACGTAGTTGCATTATGATTACCTTAATTTAACACATTTTTGGAAGGGGCGTGGCATTTTAAAATTTAAATGACTGTTGATAATTGAAATTTCAATACATTACTATATTCAACTACAGAAAGATCAGTTTAGGCCCAAAAATCTAGCGAATCAAGGGTCTATTGCCACTAGTTTTAGAGATCGAAGGTATCTGGTTATATAATTAATATATAAAATATAATAAAAATTAAAAAAATATATTTACCACTGACGGAAAAGCTATACATTTTGAAAGGAATATGCAGGGATAACAAGGAATATTATACATGTAAGAATGTTTAATAATATGGAGGAATAAAAGTAATAATAATAAATATTTCATATTTTAACAAGTATGTTTACTATTTTTTAGAAAATAAAACTACCTCCTGAAGTTATAGTAAGAAGTTACATGTATAAACATCAGTGTATTTTAATACCTAGTTGACGAGCTAGTTGACTGAACAGGAAATAATCCTAAATCTACATTTGGTAAATAAAAACTATTTCGATTTAATCCGTGAATTACTGAATATTCTTAATAAAAGTATTCCGGTTTATTCGAATTCTTAATACAATATTCAAAGGCAACAATTTACAGCATTCAAATTATACGAATAAAATATTAAATACCACAGAGGTTGAAGACAAAATGAAGTTTTTGTTGAATCGAAGGTACGATTTTTAGAGGTTAATGATACAAATTTGCATCCAAAAAGTGTGGATCATATGAGGAAAATGTTCACTATTTCTTCCTGTGAAAAAAAAACAATAGGTTGTACTTATCCAAAGACTAAAAACATGCCCCAAATTTGTGACACCATAACCAGTACAAATTAAATTTGACATTTTTTTCAAAATATTAATTTATTTGAAAAAATTGTATATGCAAATTTTTTGTTAAAAATTTTACTGTATCTATATATTTTTTCTTTCATGAGAAATTATTAAATAGTTTTTCCGTTTTATAGTTTTTTCATATCGTTAAAGTTAGGGACTTCATCATACTATTTTCAACTATTTCTTTTCAGTAAGTTATAATAATAAAATACTGACAAATATTGTGATAGATAAAAGTTCCTAACGTGATGCGAAAGTTGTTAAATCAAATAATTTTTCAAATTAAAAATAAAATGACTGTTAAGAGTAGATTAATTCATAAAAGAAATCGACCTGAAATAAAAAATATAGGGAATTTTAGAATTAAAAAAGTCAAATTTGGCGTATACTAAATGTCACAAATTTAAAGACATGATCTTTAGACATACAAATGATTTCCATAATTATTATTTTATATCCTCATAAATTTTCCCATATGCTGCACTTTTTTATTAAACTATACACTGCATAATTTTTCAGAAAACTGAAATAAATCCTTTAAAATACTGTATAACATTTATATTTATTTTCCTTCAGTTCATTCACCTAAATATACACACATAATTCATTATTACTTGAATATTCATAGAATACTTTATTCTTGAATACTATTTCCGAGTAATGAATTCTGAATAAATATCTAAAAATGAGTAATATACTTATTCATACTGTAAAAGAAAAGTATTCAATACTTGTATACTGATTACACAAATATTGTACTACTCTCTCTACATCGCACTCGAATAATATACAGGGTGTCCCGGTACTTGATACAAAAAAGACGAGTACGCATAGAAGAGGTAAAAATAATATCCATTTTTCATATAAACATTTTTCATACGAGGCCTCGTTAATAAGTTACGGGCCCTCAAAGGAGAAAATTAAAAAATTATTTTTATTTACAGTCTCTAAACTATTAACTTCAGCATGATGCAAATTTGGCGATCAATAACACATACAACTTGTTTTTGTTTGTTAACCATTGGGCGTAGACACCCTGTATATCTGATCATCAGACGCCCAAAAATGTCATTGGAGTAGAAAATTTCATTTTTTTTTAGAAACTATATCCCTTTCCGCTACTTAGAATTTCTAGGTCAACGATTTCCTGGATTTAACTTCTTCTGAGGAACAACCTCCTTATCCTTATATTATATATTACTGTACAAAATAAATAAAAAAATCACTTCATTCTAAAAGTACCTATTGTAAAGTATTTCTTATGCATTTTCTTATTATTTTAAAATAAGCAATCGAAATTATGGTCCTGATAGATGGACACCTCTGGATATTTCAATGTAAACCCATCATTATCTAACTCTTTGTAGAAATGTAAATGTTCAAAACAAAGATCAAGGTACCTTAGGGGCTTTTACTTTACAACTATTAAGGGAGAGAATGCCGTGTACCTACATAATTTAGGTTCCAAGGACCGTTGGCTTATAAGTTTTGGAGAACAGTGTCTAAAGTGTTGTCAGATTAAAACTTTGATAATATGTGTCAAACTAAGGGCCGGTTTTTCAATCTCTGGTTAACTAATTGTTACTTTTTGTATTAGAGATGTCACACATTAGTAAAGAAAAAAAAATTAAAAGCGAATTTATAAATTCATTCTTTGTTAAAAGCTTGCATGTTAAAAGAAAATTATTGCTTCTCCACTAAAACATAAGAAAATAAAGTGCTAGTTAACCTTAGGTTAGGAGTTAACCAATGATTGAAAAACCGGCCCTAAGGCAAACAAGTATTTCCTATATTAAATGTCTGAATATCGATCTGTTTAAAGTAAACAGTATTTTCTGGAATAAATTTAACATATTATCGAGTCAAGTCTTTTAACATTGCAAGCTTCTTAAAATTAAGTTTTGGTTTTATTTCAACTCTTATGACTTTCGGGTATCTCTAGCTTTATTGTGCGATATTTCAAAAACTATTGAATTTTCCGAAATTTACTTATTGGGCAAAATTTCTATTTACACTAACACCATCTACAGCTTGTTTTGGTTTATTTGTGGTCTTCATTGACGTAATCATAGAGCTTTATCAACAGCGTTTTACAGGATTAGAAAATCTCTTTCCATTATTTAGTTATCTATCCTGGAAATTTTGTGTGAATCACCCAGTAGACAATTGAGTAGATAAGTATAATTGGATCGACAGACGGCTCAGTATGTATTGAACTAAAAGAGAAAGTGCAAAGAACAAAGTAAACAGTAGAAACATTTTTCAAATAATATGTAAATGGTTTTCTTAATTTTATTTTAATTGTTGTCTTTTCTATCACTGACTTTTCAGTTTTATTTTTAAATACGTTTCTCCTTTTAGTATTAGTTTTGAATTTCCTTAATATTTACATCAGCCCCGACCAAATTTTAAATATTTTGTGATTCTCGTATAAATATTTATTATATATGTAGTTGTAAACAAAATGATAAAATAATATAGTAAGAAGTTGATTTAACTATTTGGCAGTGGCAAATTGTTACATGTAATTAAATTTAACTTGATTGATGAATAAATAATTGAACAAATATATTTCGATCATACACAAATACATCCATGTCGGAATTGAAAAAAAGCTTAACCATCAGCTATCAACTATTTCATCATTCACAACATTAATAAGACCAGTTCTACAGGACCCCAAATCTTATCATTGTTAATGTATTACCAATATTTGGTACATTAACTTGTTGTAGAAAGTCAGAGGCGAGATCAAAGATTAACTTTTTTTTAACAAATAGGTCACAAGTTATTTATAACATTATTATTAATAATGGTTACACAAAAGTTATATCAATAAATCAAGATAAAAATGATTCCTACAGAAGAAACAGATGTATCTATTATGTCAAGCTATTGCAATAATTAAGTTATTTAGTGATCTCTTTCGTACCTATTATTTAACTTGCATGGGTTGTCTTTTTTACCTTTCTTCTTTTTTCTTTATACTACTTTATATTATTTTATTTGGAAGCTTTATTTTGCAATTATCTAATTTATTTTTATTTCAGCTAAAATTGGTCTGTTCTACCTAATTTTCTATGGTATGCTAGCGGCCTTAGTAGCGATATGCATGTGGGTGTTCTTTCAAACCTTAGATCCTCGCATACCCAAATGGCAGCTGGACAGGTCCATCATAGGAACGAACCCAGGACTAGGGTTCAGACCGATGCCGACCAACAATGAAGAAAGTACCTTAATTTGGTTCCAGGGAACAAACCAGAACAATTCTGAAATTTGGGAGCATAATATTTTGCAATTTTTAGACAGTGAGTATTGTTTTGGCCCAAAAGTTATTCAAGAAATTGACGCAGTTGACTGTATTTGTGTTGTACCTTTGTGCATGTTATAATGAATTGGTCAATTTATTGGATATTTTTAAAACTAGCAACTTATCGACTAAAAAGCAATAATAGTAACAGTAAACAATGGTAGACTTATAATTTATGCTTGACGAAAGTAATTGATATAGCAAGCATGTAAGTAACACGCTTTTAAAAAACTTAAAATAGAAGCAAGTGTGATAATTGTAAAATGTAACAAAAGTTACTGCGATTGTAATATTTTCCTCCAGTTGTACACAATTATGTTCCGAATTATTCTTAAAGTGGTGCCAAGAATTTGTACCAACAAAGTAAACCAACATACATTTCGGTGAAAATTTATTACATTAATTCAAAACTAGTACATTAGTATTAGTTCTTGGACGTGTACTATTCTGTACCACAAGATCAGTTATTTTAGGTTAATTAATGCAAATTATTAACCATTTACTAGCAAAACAATTAAGTCTCTTTAAGGATTTTTCCTCTGGGATATAATAATTTAATCTTCAATAAATAAAAACTAATTACACCTTGAATAAAAATAATGAAAATTATACGAACTTAAACAACAAAAGATTAACAAATTCTTACTAGGAAGTAGTTGGCAGTTTTGGCAAGTAATTTCCTCTCAAAACACCATTCTCTTGAAAAAGTGGTCGGTATCCATTGGTAGGTATCACCTGTGGCACTCTATACGATGCTCAGTAGTTAATAGACACGAATATAGAAAAACAAGTTTTTTTGCTTCTAAGGGATTCTAACCTCTAGATACAATAGAACTTTTTAGTCGTGACGTCACATACGTCAAAAAATAGGCAACCCTATAGTGCACATTGTCGTGAAGAATTTCTCAATATTTTTACTAGCTCGATTTTCGACCTTATGTACTCTGGACATAAGTGCCAAAAAAATGGCTTCGTTGTCATTACCTTAAAAATCGGGATATTCTGGCATTATAAATATTTAAGAAGTTTCTAACCCCTAAATGACAAACTAATAGAATTATACAATTTATACAGGGTGTCCCAGAATAACGTGTACAACGATTTTTGCTAATTCACCTATATCCGAAATCACTTCGTTTGGCCGCTAGATGGCTTCAAAGTTCGTGAAAATTTTTTGAATTTTGTAAATAACTCGAAAACATATTCGATTATTTTTGGGGTGTGGACTTTTGCTTTCAATCTACACATTTTGGCGTTATACAGAGTGTTTTTTAAAACTTACAACTCCTACAAAATTGATGTGTGATAATATCCGTTCATAACTTTTTCCTCTTTCGGGCAATAATAACAGCTATTTTTTATTTGATAGGTGATACCATTTGGAAGTTTTTGGGCGTCTTGTAGAATTTTGATTAAATGAGCGGTTTGAGTACAAAAAAATATTTTTCAAATGTCTACATTATCTTGCCACCCATATTACAATACTTAATAAAGTGATAGTAGGCTCCGATTTTGTAGGTTGACTGTAATTTCTGTTTGATCTTCAAGTCATTGTACCTTCCAATTCTTAATGAGTGTTTACTACTATAAGATACACCACATGTTACTTCATTTTTCTATATGCATACACGCATACGATGAATTATTAGTTATTTACAACATGCCTAATTTTATTGAAATAATTCGTAAAGCAATCAAATACAATAAAAAATGCTGAAAATAAAACTAACAAAGTTGAGGTTATTAAATTTAATACAGTTTATTATAAAAATAATTCAAACTGCTGTTTCTATAATAAAGGTTAATTCGGACAAGAAAGAGCACCCTTTGCAGTTCTTAAGGGCTATTTTTTTAAATATTTATGGCATTTTGGATATGCTTCCACAACTCTTCTTCGGTGTTTGATGTGGAAGCATGCACTGTTGTTTTCAGATTCAGAGTGCCTCAAAAATAATAGTAGCAATACTAGTCTGGTGAACGGACATGCCAGTTAACAGGAACATTATCCCCTCTACCGATCCATCGTCGAGGGAGTCTTTGGTTCAGATACTGCCAGACATTTACAGTGAAATGTGGTTAAGCGTTATCATGCATAAACCACATGTTAGATCTCTGAGTAATAACGGCACATCTTCCAATAACTCGGGTTTAGCAAAAATTCTAAATAAATTTCCCCATTCAGTCTACTGGGCAGAATAACAGGGCCAATAATAATGCCATCCCAAACCAAACATTGATGCGACGGCATGTGGATTTTTCCACAGAAATCGAATTTTTTTCTTTTTTTCAAATTGTTTATTAACGATTTTTCTGCAAAAATTTTCTTTTAAATTTTTTTAAGCTATTTCCATGGGAAATTCAATTCTCTAAATAATTTTTCCTATGAACTAGGTATAGCGAAATTTTGCTTCGTTTTCGAGCTACAATTAAAAAACAGAAAGGGGTGCATTTTCACCTCTATCTCCAATTTCTATACTCTAATTTAATATCACTCCGCGTTTTTTTCATCTAAAATGACCATTTGAACGATTCATGTAATAAAATATCTTGAACGTCCTTCTAAAATCCGTACCATTTTTTTCTTTAAAAAAATTGAGATTATTACCCGTACGCGCGCCAATGATGAACATAAAATTCTTAATTGCGTGTCAAATGCGCAATAACTACACCTCTTAAAACCCACCAAATTTCATTTGCACATCTCGACCGGTATCAGAGCAATAAATTAAATTGTCAGTTTTTAAGAAAAACTTTGACACCCCGTATCTCGGAAAACGAATCATTTGCGGACATACATTTATAAACAAACTGCCATTATTTTCTCATGTAGAAACACCCCCTGAAATTTGTCGCACTTATTTACTAACACCCTGTATAAAAAACTGCAAAAGTGCATTTTCACCCCCTATCTTCAATGTCAACCCTTTAATTTAATAGCACCCCGCGGTTTTTTCATTTTTAATGACCCTTCGAACAAGTCATGTGATGAAAATCCTTGAACATCTTATTTCCTTCCTTTTTTGCAAAAAATGAGAATTAAAACGTATAAGGGNAAAATTTATTTTTTGTTTATATTTCCGGAATCTATTAACCGATCTGAATAAAATTTGGTACAGATAATGTATGACAGTAGTCCTTGCATTCCCTAGAATATGGGCTGTAAAGGAACGGCCAGTGGTGTACAACTGGACAGGGTCACCCCTTTTTTTATAAAAAAAACCTACGCCACTGTATTTTTTGCAAGCTATTGTAACGGATTTATATTAATATAATATATATATTAATGTACAAAATAGATAAAAAAAGGTAACGTGAATTTTTTCCCTAAAGTTCACCGTTCTCAAGTTATTCACACGAATACAATCTCCTTGTGGCGGATACTTCTAACCATAATATTACAAGAATATTTATGTTTATGCTTAAAAGTAAGTAAAAATTTGTAAGCACATCTACAAAATTCTTTACACTCGTCGCTTTCATCTTTTTGGATTATAAAGATATTTGGAAAATCACGACAGCGCAGCGCAGTGAAAGGCACATAAATAAAATTTTAAGAACATTGGAGTGAGTAAATCGAAAATTTGAAAAGTTCTACATAAGGATTGCAGAAATCCATACCATTTACAACCTGTGCAAAATTTACTGCCGGTAGATGCAGAGAGACGCTTGAATTTTTGTCAGTGGCTATTAAAGTCACACATAATCCAGAATTCTTACTAGAAATACTTTGGACCGATGAGGCTACGTTCACAAGGCGAGGAGTGGTGAATTTTCAAAATATTTGGTCACAAGAAAATCCTCATGAAATTCGAACAAGATCTTTTCAACACGAATTTTCTGTGAAAGTGTGGCTTGGAATAAATCGGACCTTTTTTCTTGTCACCCCATCTAAATTCCCAGCAATTCTAAACTTTCTAGAAAACCATCTATTTGAATTATTAGAGGATGTTCCATTAAATATACCACAAAATAGCTGGATACAAATGGATGGTGCTCCTACGCATTTCAGGAGAATAATACAAGAATGGCTTAAAAATTATATGGGGCGATGAATAGGTTGAAGACCAAATGCCAATGTCAACCATAATGGTGCAGAGAATCCAGTGTCTTGGCCAGCCAGATCGCCAGATCTAAACCCCGTGGACTTCTATGTTTGGGGTTACCTATCTAAAAAGTAAAGTTTACTCTACTCTAATAGATACAAGACCACAACTACTGCAGCCAATAGAAGACGGGTGTAATGAATTAAAAGAAAACCACCACATGATATTAGTGGTTTAATTAACCATTAATAGAAGTTGTCAGAAATGTATCGATGTGGATGGTTCGCATGTTGAACAATTGCTGCCAATACGTAATGTTAATTTCATTTCTTGTTTAGTTGTTATTTCTTGGTAAATGTATTTTTATTATTATTTTGATTTAAATTGTTCTTATTTGTAAAGACAGTGGATTAAGCCTCCAGGGGAAACTAAAAGACACTAGGAATACTACCTCACAGGTGATGTGGAAATAATTTTGTTGATCTGCTTACAAATTGCACTTACTTTTAAGCATAAACATAAATATTCTTGTAATATTATGGTTTGAAGCGTCTGCCACAAGGGGATTGTATTGGTATGAATAACTTGAGAACGGTGAATCTTAGGGTAAAAATTCAAGTTACCTTTTTTACGTATTTACTGCATTAGAATATAAATCCGTCACAATAACTTGTAAAAAATACAGTGGCGTAGTTTTTTTATAAAAAGAGGGCGACCCCTGTCCAGTTGTACACCACTGGTTGAACCTTTAGAGCTCATATTTTAGGAAATGAAAGGCCTACTGCCATACATTATCTGTACCAAATTTTATTGAGATCGGTTAATAGATTCCGGAGATATAAACAAAAAATCAATTTTTTTAACAACTTTAACACCCTGTATCTTTAAAACGAGGCCGTTCCAGACCTATGTGTATAAGGCAAACACCTATTATTTTAAAGAGATCTATCTACCCTCGAAGTTTCCTGCATAAAATTCGGACCACCCTGTATATGTATATTTATAAAATATTCCATCACGGTAGATTAACAATTACCT